GACTGAAGAAGTCTCTTGGAGGAGAGACGAAACGTTTCATTAGAGAAGAACCCGTCCAGAAGACCTATACAATTTTTTTCTTTTTAAATTTAAGACCAATTTCGTAATAAACACAAAAGACACAAACTAAAAAAATAAATAAAAACAAGTATTTTTGGTTGAAGTATTCAAATATCGCTAATAGACCAATTGTTTTTATCCATATCTAACTGCTTTTTCATCGACTATAGCAGAAACATTCTTAGCAGTCAGTTTTAAACTTAATTTAATTTCTGGAAATCCTTTAATGACCCAAAATTTGGAGTTTTATGACCCACAGTGTTGTCTTAACCCCAATTTGCTGAAGATGAAACCTTAAAATACATCAATGTACATCAATGTTTTGTAAGAAAAGTGAATGCATTTTTGGAATGACAACATTATTAACATATAACATAAAGAATTTCACATTGCTCAGATGGATAGTTGTTGAGAAATTTGCATGTGAAATAACAGGAAATGGTGCCAAAGGGGAATGTCTGCATGTGAATGTTTAAAAAAATAAATGTTACCAATTATTTTAATATTTGAGGTGAACCATCCTACTTACAATGTGTTAACATTTTTAAGACTTATGAAAGATTGATTTAAGACATTTTAAGGCTAATTAAGGCCTTATTTTTGGATTGATTCAATGACTTTTAATGCTACGCTCACACCGAACGCGTTTTGAGTGGCCAAAAAGCGCAAAACGCCTCTCATTGGATGCACTATGCTCAGACCGAAGAACGCACTAGTGTTCAGACCAGAACGAGAAGCAGCAGCAGTGGCTGCAGCTGGGTGTTGGAGGAGTGTCTCCTCGGTGGGTGAATAAAGATAAAATAAAAGAAAATGGCTTTGATTTATTTACTAAAAAGCAAGCGAACGTTGCGCACAGCAGATAATTAACTCACCAGATGATTTAGAGGTGATTTGTTCGGTTAGTTTCATCACTCCAGAAGCTACCAGCTGACAGACTTTTTTTTTTGGTCCCAAGCAGCTGATCCACATTGGCGCTGATCTATCCTGCCAGAAAATCCAAATGCACACCGTCGATTTCAGGTAAAGATCTCCAGTCCGTCTGTTCCAGTTTTCAGTGGGAGACGCGTTGAGCGGCGAAAAGTTCAGATATCTGAACTCTGGCGGCGGCTGCTTCCGCAGCACCGCATGCACGGAAAACGCTCTGCGCCCCTCCCGCCTTCCTTGCGCGCCGCCCAAAACGTATGTGACGCTACGCACGACCCCTAGAGGCGCGTCCTCATACACTTTGCATGTGAATCGGCCGCTCCTGCCGCTCAAAACGCGTTCGGTGTGAACGTACCATTAGACTTTTTAAGGATCTGCAGGAACTCTGAATCTGCAGATTTTTGACCCAATTTTGTCCTTCTGACAACCTTAAAGGGGACCTATTACGCAAAATTCTCTTTTTAAAGATTTCTTACTCAACTTTGGGTATGTACTTCTTAAAAAACAGTCATAGGACCAAAAATGCACCCAGGGGTATATTTACTCTAAGTAAATGTATTTTTTTATATTAATGTCAAGTTTTCAAACCCCGACTCAGCCCACCCCAACCTGAGCCCAAACCCTTGATAGTGTCACTACCTACAAATATCTTGGAATTACTTTGAATTCTCATTTGACTTATTGTGATCATGTACAAGTCTTAACCACTAAGTTGAAACAGAAATTATACGTTTATTCAAAAATTAGATCCAATCTGACATCTTCTGTTTCAAATATCTATCTTCATGCCATTATACTCTCAACCATGTCATACTGTTTACCGGTACCTGTTTGGTCTCTTACAACAAATGAAATCTTAGAACCCATAGTTAGGCTCTACAACAGGG